ACTCTGCTCATGCACTCCTCCAGGTGTCTTAGTGCTGCTCTCACCTAACGGCTGCTGTTGTGAAGCAAGAATCCTTCATCTTTGGTGTGAAGACGCCAAGGCTTAGTGAAACTGATTTACCCCTTGAGTGGAACTGGAACATAAACCCAGGTGTAATGACTGCAAAGTCTCTTTTCTGCTTTTCATTCCCCTAGAGAGGTTGGAGAAGCATCTGGGATTTATAGATCCTTTGCCCTCCAGGGAACATCATATAGAAGCCAATTCTGCCAACCCAGCTGCAGATTCTGGTCTAGTCCATTGTACCTCAGTTTCTTAGCGCATAATAAGTATCCATGATCCTCCACTTCCCCATGGAGGGCCTGGAGTCCCTAACGTTTCTGCTTGGACTGAGACAGACAGGCAGGCCACACCTCAAAGGGCAAGCAGAGGTGCAAGGCCTTTGCTCAGTCACAACACGGTCCCCTGCAGTAAAAGCACAGCCTCCAAAAGGCAGCGTTAGCTGTTCCAAAAGGGAGCATTAGCTGTTCCAACCAGTAATTAAAAAAATAAACTGATGTTTTAGTCATTTGGGTGAGTCACAACAGAGGATCTGAATGTCTTTCCGGAGCAGAGTGGGAACTCTCTGGTATGTGCGTGAGGCCCTCCTGCTAGTGGGGTGAGCCCCACACAGGGCTTTCTAATACTCTACTGGCACAAGCACCCAGACTTTGTACTTGGGAGCATTTAGAAAGGTTCAAGACCATCAACGCTCTACTCCAGAAGGCAAAAGCCAATTCATTCTCACTAGTTAACCTCTTCTAGGTTTTACTGGGGTTAGTGCCCAATCAGCAAACTAAATCTCCTGGGCACCAACTTCTCTACTAAAGATGTGGTCACATCCCTTTCCTAAGGGCACCTCCTGGGTGGCTATAGACATGATGCACCTTTGAGACTTTCCTTCTCCCAGCGGGCTCCTTCCTTTTCCAGACTGGACCCTTTTCCTCCTAATGTGCAGATCTGTTGGGCCCATCACCTCTGGGCCCATCCATAAAAATAGATGGAACTTTTCTGTGAACCCACACAGACCCAGAGCTAGTAATACATATGTTCTACACAGAAACATCCTGTGTGGGAAACAAGGTCCAGCTAACCTATTGTAAACAACATACTACATGCATGCTACTCCACCAGCCAGATAAACCAAACCAACAAGAATTAAAAGACAAAAGAAGAGTGAAATGCTTCTTAGAACTTTCTATATTAACTACCTGGAACATAAGACTTCTGAAAAATCACTGTTTAAGATAACTAAACATTCCCTTCCAGTACCTCCATTAACTAGATACTAATAAAAGGTTAATCCAAAGGACTGACTTAGCCTGTATATATTCTAGAGTAGCGGGACACATGGAAATGAAATACTGTCAATTGGGACCGTAAAGAAATACGAAAAGGTTGATATATCCATAAAGAGATCACAGAGTGGGGAGTTTTTACCTTTTTCTTCTTCTATTTTTCAAATTTTATTTATGTGAAAATGTACTTGTTTACATACAAAATATTTTCTGGGTAGTAAAGGGATATTTCATGAAAATACCAAGGGCATAATTTTATTCATTCACAGAGAAGTTAAGGTGCTTGATAAAAGGGCCAAAGATGCCCTCATGTGGCTAGAAAGGAAAATGCTGTGATTTAAGAAAGATGGAGGGGCCACTCCCTTCTTTTAAGAGGCCTTGGGTTGTCCATGGGTTTTTGCACCTTTTTCATACCTTGCAGTTTTATTACTTGTCAAAGTAATATGGTATGCTCACATCATTTCCATCAAGAGAAGAGACATTTCATAATTTCAAAAAATATACACTAAAATTTTAAGTAATCAACACGAACCCTTAAGATCAGCTGAAACTCCACCACAGTGACACAAACTCTGTAGGACTCACAGCAGCGCCCTGGTGTGTGAAGAGCAGGGAAAGGATGGGGGATGAAGGAACCAAACTGTTGGAAGCAAAGCCGATTCCAAAGAACAAAAGCAGCTTTAGTCCTTCTTGGAAAACAAGTTCAGCTTCTGTTTCTACCTTAGTTATCAAGAGATCAGAAGCCAATGCCAGGGACCAGAATAGAAAATAAGATAATACCACAAAGATTTACGTCCATATAATCTATCAACATGAACTTGACCTCCAGACCCTTAAGGCAAACATGGCTCAACCTTATCATACATGGGTTAATAACCTATTTCTTTTAAGAAAAAATTCCTTCTTCCCTTATACCAGAGGTGTAGGTATCACACATCACACAATTATAAAATATATGCATAATGAAAATAATTTTTAGATTTTTTTAAAAAACATTTTCAATGTTCTCTCATTAGACAGAAATAAACTATTCTTCTCAGAGAAGAAAATGAAGACATCCAAGTGCAAAGAAGGCACTCAAAGCTGCAGCCGGAAGCTTCCCTCATCACATAGCTTTTAGATTCTACCAGGGTGAGCTGACCGCCCATAAAACCTTCCCAGGACGCCGAGCCCTGAACCCGGGGCACTGCCACACACAGAGGCTCCAGACACGTCTTTTGTGCCTTGGGTCACACAGAACACTCTCCGGGAGGCTCTCAGTGCCAGAACCCAAACAAAGGCTAATACTGTGCTCAAAATGCGTTTTGAACAGGCAAGGAGTGTACATAAACACACACCACTCATCTAACACAGAAAAACACAAGATGTTAAATGAAGAGAGCCTAATATAAAATTAAATATACAGCCTGAGTAGAGAGTTAAACCCACATACTCATGCACCCCATCAATAGATTAGAAGGAAAACATTAAATACCAATAGTAGTCATAACTGAGAAGACTGTGACTAGGGGTGATTTTGTTGGTGTTTCCTACTTTGATTTTCCAAATCTGTAATGACCACATGCTACTCTTTTATAATCAAATAAGCAAATAATACTTATTGACCGTTTATCAAATGAGTAATTGCCACCTAATTCAATTATCCTAAAATTCTGTCAAGATAGACATAAGGTTTGGGGCCCACATAAGATTTAAATGTGTCAGGAGGACAGTGGGGATGGGCACAAGAGAAGATTCCTGAACTGGAAGAATCCAAGGGCCTGAATTCAACCTTGGCTCTGTGGAACCTGGGTATTGATTTCCTCATCCTGTCAAACGAGAGGTTGGGCTAGTGCTTCCTAATCCTCAGCGGGTCACTGACCCTTCTAAGTCAGAGATCCTTCTGTCTGGAGAAGTGGTGGTGGTGCTGGGTGTTCACAGAGCTTTTAGAAATAATCCAGGAGTTTTATGGACTTTCTAGAGGTTCTGGGACTCATTAGCATGTTCTCTTCTGCAGCTCTGTTTTCAATGACAGAGGGAAGCAGAATATGGTCCTATTTTCATTTCCTGAATCTTTGCTGAGGGCCAGGACTAGGAGCTGCCAAGATATGCCAAGATCAAAAGTTTTTTGCCCTAACCAAGGGCCACTTAAAAAAAAAAAAAACTTTTTTAATGTTTATTTTTGAGAGAGTGCGCACGAGTGGGAGATGGGCAGAGAAAAGTGGGGGGACAGAGGATCTGTGCTGACAGCAGAAAGCCCCGGTGCAGGGCTCAAACACATGAACCCTGACATCAAGACCTGAGCCGAAGTCGGATGCTTAACTGACTGAGCCACCCAGGCGCTCCTAACCACCTTCCAAAAGGCTTAACTACTCAGCCCCATTTGCTTTGAGGATAGGAAGGAGCTTCAGCACCATACTCAACAAGTTCAGTCTAAACAAAACATGAGACTACTGGTGTAAAATCAAAATCAAGGTGTGAAAGGTGAGCACAGCAGAGGGTAACTGAGACACCAAGAGAGCAACAGAAGACACCCCTTTTCTAGGCGCATTCCTGCTGAATCCTGACATTCCGGCGAGAAACATGTTTTAGGAACATGCTCGCCCTGGCCTCAGAATGCCTAAGGCAAACAGGGCAGCACATAAGGGATTACGAGAGGGCCACAAAAAGCATGATGTGACCAGCTACGACATCTCTGCTAATAAATGAGACTTTCTTAAGCAACATACTGCTCATAACTATCTTGCTCCATTTATTTCTTGTTTTTACTTATTTTTTATTTGAGAGAGAGAGAGAGCAGGGCAGAGGGGCAGAGAAAGAGAGAATCTTAAGTAGGCTCCACACTCAGCGCAGAGCCCAATACAGGACTTGATCCCATGACCCTGGGATCATGACCTGAACTCAAATCAAGAGTCAGAATGCTCAACCAACTGAGCCACCCAGGCACTCCCCCCACCCCCATTTCTTATTTCTATCATCAATCATTTATCCATTCAGAGCTATGAAAATACTTCCCCCAACTGCAGTATTCAAACAGGATAGACAGATTTCAATAATGAATACTCTTATATTAAAAATAAAAGCTCCACTTGAAATGTCAAAAAACAAAAAAACCCCCAGAAAAACAAACGCAAACCATACATCAGTAGAACTGCTACAAAACAGTACTTTCAAACAGGCTAGAGGTAGGGTTATGGCTTCACTCTGTTGTATCTCTGTCACATCTGGGAGTTTTGCCTACCTAATGGTTTCTGAAATAAGGAGCATCAAAACAGCTATGAATCAGGAATGTGATGTTTCCAGGAGCCCTCCCAGGACAGCCCTTCTTCCTGGCATCACTAAGCTTTCTCCCCCCACCCCCCATTAGGCCAGTCCCTTCCTCAGGGATCAAGCCTATGTACCCAGATAAGTCTTGCAGGTGACTCCAGAAGTGGGCACAGGGCCTAGCTGCCCGCGGTACTGCCTCCATTCAGAGAATGAGAAAGCCACCCCTCCTCAAGAAGCAACTATGGATGACAGAGATAGCACGATACTCTGTAGTTCTGACCCAGACCAGACTCCAAAAACAATCCTTTTGGCCTCAGCTAAGCTAAGGTGATCAGCTTAAGCCAGGTTTAAATCCCTCCTGAATTTACTGATGGCTTTTTATTGATGCTGGTAACCACAATTTTTCCTCATGAATTACCATACTATTGCCCAGTAACTTTAATAAGGGGGATTGGGCAGGGGTTAAAAAGAGATTAATTTCTTTCCTTCCTTCCTTTTTTTTTTTTAAAGGATAATTGCACATAATCACCAATGGGCCTATGGTGGAATACCTCTTGCCACCCCAAGGCAAGCTACTTTATGGGAACTTCCCAGCTGTGCAAGAATTTAACTAGCAACAAGCCTGAAAATTTGGTTACGTATATAGGTACACAGCTGGTTCATCAAATCCCGATTCTGGCCCTCCACCCAATGCATTTCAACTAGAGCATCATCCACCTCCTTCTTTACATTTATCAAACACTTGAATAGGTAATGTCCAGCCACTCCTTGGAGATGGGTCCCTTTTTCAGACACTGGGCTGCTGAACTGCTCAGAAGCCTCTCGGTCCTGGGCTCCACTGTTAGAGCCTTTACAATTTTCTGAAGCCTCTGTCCCTCCCTTTTCCTCACTCCTTTCATCCTCCATAGGTTCTGGGTTTTCATCCTGGAAAAGCAGATCCTGGTTTGCGGAATGGCCCTCGACAGTGGCGGATTCACCTTCCTGTGCAGCAGGCCCACACAGGGTGCTCTCCCGGGGACCCTGGGCCAAATCCTGGCTACTGCCAGACTCTCTCGGGGTAGACTTCTTCTCCTCCAAGGCTTGGATGACGTCCTCAGGAGCGCGGGGAACTTCTCTCAGCTGTCTTACTCGCTCTCGTTTCTTTCTCCTTAAGTGAATCCAGGAATTTTCTATTGCTGTTAGGAAAAGGCTAACCTCTTCCTTTCCACAGGGGACTCGTTTATGCTGGACCTATTTGGAGGAAAGATAGAATTTTATAGATCACTTTCCTCAAAACCTCAAAAGAAAAAAGATTATTGTAAGTCAGTCTTCAGTGTGCCTTCAAAGTACCTTCAGATCAGTGAGGATTTTTTCAATCCATGTTGTCACAACTACTATGCCTTCCATTGTCTCAGAGCCCAAAGAGGACGCTTTGAGGGACAATTCTTTCATCACAGACTCCAACACTACAAACGTAATGGGTTTCCTTGACTTCTCTAGTTTTCTTCGCTTACTGGGTGGTGACTGAAAGAAAAAGAAGGCATGGGGGAAGAAGGAGAAGTTATCCAAATAATCAAATTTCATGTATTATAATGAACTTACCTAGGGACACTTCCATGACTTCTACTACCAAATGGAGAGCACTAAAAACGCAAAGACCTTTGCATGCTTATTTTCAATACTTGAAACAACTCTGTGAAACAGGTAAGTTACCTCTACATTTGACAGAAAGAAACCAAGATACAGAGAGGATATGTAACCAGCTCAAGGTCACATAGCTAGTAATTTGCCAAGTTAGGATACAAACTCAAAACACATGTTCTTTCTGCCCTACCACACTGCCTGTTTTCAGGCCATCCCCATATAACACCCTCTGACTAGTTATATCCTTAATCTACGTGTTATACCCAACACATGCCTGTACAATTATTCATTTCATAGCAACTCAAGGACCTGGGGACTCTGTTTTATCAAGAACTGCATGGCAGTGTCTGGCTGGCTCCGTTGGTAAAATGTGTGACTCTTGGTCTCAGGGCTGTAAGTTCAAGCCCCACATTAGGTATAAAGCTTACTTAAAAAGTTAAAATTAGGGGCACCTGGGTGGCTTAGTCGGTTAAGTGTCCGACTTTCGCTTAGGTCATGATCTCGCGGTTCGTGGGTTCGAGCCCCGCGTCGGGCTCTGTGCTGACTGCCAGCTCGGAGCCTGGAGCCTATTTCAGAGTCTGTATCTCCCTCTCTCCCTGACCCTCCCCTGCTCACTCTCTCTCTTTCCTAGAAATAAATAAAAATATTAAAAAAAAAAGTTAAAATTAATTGAAAAATAAGAACTGCATGGTTTATTTTTTTAATGTTTTATTTAGTTTTGAGAGCGAGAGAGAGAGACCGCATGAGCAGAGGAGGGTCAGAAAGAGGGAGACACAGAATCCAAAGACCGGCTCTAGGTTCCGAGCTAGCTGTCAGCACCAAGCCAATGGCTAGCCGAGCACTGCCTCTCTGTTGGAAGAATAGATTCCAGTGGTGATGAGAATAGTGGATTTGAAAGCTAGTTCCAAAGAATTCAAGACTGTCATCTTCCTATCTTTCTTTCTTTCTCTCTCTTTCTTTCTTTCTTTCTATTTCAAGCTTAGAACATGAATTATACTCTACCCACTAGAGGGACTCAAGTTCCATTTTAAAACCTAAATGACATTACTATATTCAAAATGTTTCTTTAACCATTTACTAAATTTTTAAAATGACTCTCAGCTAAGGCCAGATATATCATGAACACTTTAAGAGAGACTTCCACCTACTGACTATAAAATCTATTAAAACTTTAAAAAAGATAATTGTAAGGGTCAGGGTGCAGATTATAAGGAGAAAGGATCATAAAGAGAAAACACTTTAGTCAGGTTTGAAGACCTTTTCCTGCAAAAAGCAGTCGCTGATAGTTGTGCTGCCATTAACTGAAATTCTACCTGGCAATGGTGATGGTGCACATGCGTATACACACAGTGTCAGGTCCGCTCCCTGGGTGAGGTCTTGTAAGAACTAATCAGCAACTCCACTCGCCCCCCAACAAAACAGCCAGTTTATTCCACGCTAGAAAACTTCTAGATCGTATTTCTTTTTTTTCTTACGAATAGTTTATTGTCAAGTTGGTTTCCATATAACAAACACCCAGTGCTCATCCCCACAAGTGCCCTCCTCCATGCCCATCACCCCCCTTACCTTCTCCCCCACCCCCATCAGCTCTGTTTGTTCTCAGCATTCAAGAGTCTCTCATGGTTTGCCTCCCTCCCTTCCCCAACTATTTTTCCCCTTCTTCTCCCCCATGGTCCTCCGTTAAGTTCCTCCTAATCCACCTATACGTGTGGGGTATCTGGGTGGCTCAGTCGGTTAAGGGTCTGACTTCGACTCAGGTCATGATCTCACAATTCGTGGGTTCGAGCCCCACGTCACGCTCTATGCTGACAGCTAGCTCGGAGCCTGGAGCCTGCTTCAGATTCCTTATCTCCTTCTCTCTCTGACCATTCTGTCTCTTTCTCAGAAATAAAAACATTAAAAAAAAATTTTTTTAAAGTGACAAACCCTAATCCACCTATATGTGCAAACATATGGTATCTGTCCTTCTCTGCCTCACTTATTTAGCTCAGCATAACCCCCTCAAGTTCCATCCATGTTGCTACACATGACCAGATTTCATTCTTTCTCACTGCCATGTAGTATTCCATTGTGTATATAAACCACATCTTCTTGATCCATTCGTCAGTTGATGGACACAGGCTCTTTGCATGTTTTGGTTATTGTTGAGAGTGCTGCTATGAACACTGGGGTTCATGTGCCCCTATGCATCAGCACTCCTGTATCCCTTGGGTAAATTCCTAGCAGTGCTATTGCTGGGTCATAGGGGAGTTCTATTGTTAATTTTCTGAGGAACCTCCACATTGTTTTCCAGAGGGGCTGCACCAGTTTACATTCCCACCAACAGTGTAGGAGGGTGCCCATTTCTCCACATCCTTGCCAGCATCTAGAGTCCTCTGATTTGCTCATTTTAGCCACTCTGACCGGCGTGAGGTGGTATCTCCATGTGGTTTTAATTTGTATTTCCCTGATGAGGAGGGATGCTGAGCACTGTTTCATGTAGATTGTATTTCTAAGAAACAATCTATTTTTTCCCTTTATACTAGATAGTAAAAACAAAAACAAAAAAACAACCCAGGAAACTAGAGGACACTAAGAAACAAGCTTAGTAGAAAAGGACCAAAAACTAAGAGTACATATATGGGTAAGAACCTGCTCCTGAACAACAAATCATGGATTCCAAGCTCTAAATCTGAACTTGTCCAATTAATGTTTCAGATAAGATGAGACAAATTCACATTAACAACACAGTAGTATTGTTAATATTCAATCACCCAGCCTAAGAAACATATTTTCTACAGTCTACTGAGAGCCTAAAACTTTTCACTAAGGAGCTTAAAATATGATTATTAAGCTGGGGAAAAAGAAGATAGTGGTGTGTAGAAGGGGAACGGGAGACAAGAACCAGATTCCCCATTCCACTTCCCAGTATCCAAGGCTGTTACTACAGACAGGTCACTGTAACAGGATCACCCCTGACAGCCCACCCAGCACACCAAAGATCACCTGGAAATATAGCTAAAAGGACAGTGCCTCATATCTCTTCTGACAGAGATGGTAATCTCTTGTGTTTACAAATTCCAATCAGCAAAGTGAAGATTTTGCTATTTCTCAATTGGTCATGCTGGAGCTGGCCTACAATACTCTTTCTCCAAAACAAAGTATTGACTCATCATTATTTCTAGACATTAAAGGAGAGAAATGTGTCCTCACCGAACCTAACAAGAGCTCTATCAAGGATTCACTTTCCAAGTTTCAAGGGAATCAGAAATAAAATAAAATATTACCCTATTACCCAGGATGAAAATGAAAACTTCTGCATCTCAAATATGGTTCCTGTATCTTGCATTCTGGCCCCAGTTTTCCATATATAATGGCCAACTGATAAATCTGGTATTTCTGAATATTGTTAGTAAATTACTTTAATACACACATACACAGTCCTCCTAAGACTGTTTTAGTTTTACTCTATTATAGAAACTAGGCACTCAAAACAAAACAAAACAGGGGCGCCTGGGTGGCTTAGTCGGTTAAGCGTCCGACTTTCGCTTAGGTCATGATCTCGCGGTTTGTGGGTTCGAGCCCCGCGTCGGGCTCTGTGCTGACTGCCAGCTCAGAGCCTGGAGCCTGTTTCAGAGTCTGTGTCTCCCTCTCTCTCTGAACCTCCCCTGTTCACGCTGTCTCTCTCTCTCTCCTAGAAATAAATAAAAAAAAAAAAAATATTAAAAAAAAAAACACAAAACAAAACAAAACAAAATAAACAAACAAACTAGGCACTTAGATAATTTATACTCCAGAAATTCTCAAGTTTTTAAACGATTCAAGTTTAATATAGGCTTGGCTCACAGCCATCATTCCTTTTCCCTCTTATGTATACTGAAATCCTCCCCCCCCCCCGCCGCTTTTAAGTTTAGATTTGAGAAAACTGAGTGGGGAAGGGGCAGACGGAGGGAAGGAGAGAAGATCTGGAAGCTGGCTTCACACTGACAGCAGAGAGCCCGATGTGGGGCTTAAACCCATAAACTGTGAGATCATGACCTGAGCCAAAGTCGGCTGCTCAACTGACTGAGACACCCAGGGGCCCCTGAAATTTCTTTTTTTATTGTTTTGTTTATTTTTCAGAGAGAGGGCATGCACAAATGGGGGAGAGGTGGAGGAGGGGACAGAGGATCCAAAGTGGGCTCTGAGCTGACAGCAACAAGTCCAATGTGAGGCTCAAATCATGAACATGAGATCATGATCTGAGCTGAAGTTGGACATTCAACTGACTGAGCCACCCAGGTATCCCTGTACTGAAATTTCTTAGTAGGCAGGGCTAGAGTAACATACAGGAACAGGCTTTGAGAAATTAGTAACTAAATTGAACCCCACAGGTCCTCAGTAGCAGGTAAGCTTATACCCTGTCACAACACTAGTAAACAGAAACTGTTTTCCCCCAACTAAGGTAAATTATTGCAAATATGCTTATGATCTCAAATCACAAATATTTTCAACAAAGGGTGCCACATTCAAACTGTCATTATCTAGTTGAAGCAGGCAAGGTGACATCAATAATTCAACATTTTAAAGTGTAAAACAAAATCACTATTTACAATGGCTTATTCAGTTTAATGTGAAGAACCACAAGGTGAATTTACAACTGATTTGGGATTAGAAAATATACTACTATATTCCCCAGCTGAAAATCAGGACAGTGGGGCCTGGGTGGCTCAGTCAGTTAAGCGTCCAACTTTGGCTCAAGTCATGATCTCACGGTTTGTTAAGTTCGAGCCTCGAGTCGGGCTCTGTGCTGACAGCCAGCTCAGAGCCTGGAGCCTGCTTCAGATTCTGTCTCTCCCTCTCTCTCTCTCTGACCCTCCCCTGTTCATGCTGTTTCTCTCTCTCAGAAATAAGTAAAACAT